CAATTCTTACCATTTTTTAATTGGTTAAAATAATTTCAAAAAAATTGGATCGGATCAAAATAGATTAGAATTGAACAGGGCTAGATTATGCTCAAGTGTTCCTATTCCTTTTTATGTAATCTTGAATTTTTATAACTATTTTGTTTCCTGTAATTCTATATTGATTGTAGTACTTGAACATAATGCCATCACTATCCAATCACATTGAGGGAGGTGCTTGAGAACGGTTTAAAGCATTCAAATCCAAGTGCAAAATGATCAACATTTTTTTAAAATGGCAAATAAATGAAGGTTTTTGTTTGAAGGGTGTTTTATCTCTAAAATTGAATAATTGAAAAGAAAACAGTATTTTAACTGGAATAAACTTTAATAATTGATATTTAATTTCCGGACAAAGTAGCAGCATATCAATTTTTGACGAAGACCTAAATAATAGAAATAAATGATTGAATTGAGGTTACAGCCAAGTTATGCAAATTATTTTACCAATTTCATAATAGAAAAGGTTGATGATATCTTATTGAATTCCATTATTATCAATGAATAACTAATTGCTGCTAACAATCGTTTCGATGATTATTAAAAAAAATTTGATTTATATCAGAATCGAAACAATAATATAATTTTCTTAAAATAATTCAGAAAGCTTGGCCTAAACGAAACTATAATACAATAATAAAATATCCTAAATAAAAATTTGCGAAAAATTATAAGTAATTCGATAACCTGAAAAAGCGTTTTTGGTTTCTTCATAAATGTCATTTTTAACCGGTTTCATTACGAGGTTTTCTAACAATCACCTTGCATTATGAACAAATCAACCTAATGTTTTTACTCAGACGATACAGCATAGCCAAGCCTACGTATGAACTCTCCTTTTCGGCAGCATCTAGTCCCATTGCATTTCGCACTTTTTATCCAAGAGACATTCATCCAGTGTCACATAAAATAACGAACATAATATAAGTATGATTTATTAATCCCTTCGGCATCTGATCTCAACGCGAGATTTCCTCATCCTAAATTATGTGCCTTTCAATCAAGAAATATTTCAACTTTGCAAAAAAGAACCAACATTTATAATCCCAAGTATAATCTCTACCTCCCTTCAGCATCGGGAATCATCGCAAGATATCCTCACCCTAAATTATATACATTTCCATCAAGAACTATTTCAACTTTATAGATAAAAACAAATATGACCTCTCACGCAATTCGGCACCTGGTCTCGTCGCGAGAATAAATGACCCTGAATTATGTACATCTCAATCAAGAACTATTTCAGCCTTGCAAAAAAAAATCAATATAGATAATTCCAAGTATAATCTCTACTCCCATCGGCATCGAAACTTAACGCGAGATTTCCTCACCCTGAATTATGTACTTTTCAATCAAGGGTTATTTCAGCTTTGCAAAAAAAGTATCAATCTAGATAAGCCCAAGTATGATCTCTTCCTCCTTTCGGTATCTGGTCGCATCGCGAGATTCCTCACTCTGAATTATGTACTTTTCAATCAAGTATTTTTCAACATTGCAAAAAAGAATCAACATAGATAATCCCAAGTATGATCTTCCTTCGGCATCTGGTTTCATCGCGAGAATCCCTGAATTATGTAATTTTCAATCAAGAAATATTTCATCATTGCAAAAAAAAGAACCAACCTAAATAAGCCTAAGTATGAACTCTTTCACTACTCGCAATATTAAGAATTCAAGTTCTCTTTGAAGGCACTTCAACAACTCACTACCGTTTTATTTATTATTTTTTCAGTTTCCTTTGGAATTTGTAAATATTATTCTTCATATAATAACAGCAAAGAAATTCGAGACATGGGTACTTGAAAATGAAGCGGTGGAAACTATCACATAAAACTATTTAACAGGGTCAACACTGTCAAAAATAACTGAAAAAGATATGAAGGATTTGAAATTCCAGCGGCTGTTATACCTTATATAAATGAATTGAGAAGAAAATATATCAAAAAATGTATATATATTCAGAAATATGATAAAGAGGGACTTTTGTTTCCAACTTTCGATAAGGTTACCGTAGATAGCGATAAATCTTTTAAAGTTTTATTAAGACTCATCTTCCATACTTTGTCTTCGATTTTGTCCATGTTTCCTATACTTTATTTTGTCAAGATGAGCGGGATCAATTCGATATTTTTGATTGTTGACCAGGTTTTTGAATTGATGAATAAACGAGCAATATTCGAAATTATGATTTTCTATTAAAGTTAATCCTTTTGCATCCAAGAAATAATATTCGCAATAAGGAAGACCTTAGCGGAAAATGAAAGTAACCTAAAAATATTCCCGAATCGCATTATTACAAAGGATTGAAAGCATTTGATGGAATGGGACGATATCATGTATACCGACCTAAATGTTTACTTATGTGAAAGTAAACATCATGTAACCAAGTATTTATTTTTTAATGTTGACCGAGCTCTTTATTAATTAGATAATTATTATTTTTAGAAACAAATAACGAGGAGGTTGCTTGAAAGAATGGATGAGTTCACTACTAAAGTAAATGCTTCCTCAGACAAACCTTTGAGACATTACTCAATAAGAAATTATTATGGGGTATTGTTAAGGTTAATTTTTCCGAAAGGTTAAGAAAAGAAGCAAGCAACCATGGAATAGTTCATTATTTCCAGGAGGGGGAGATACTCAGTCGAATTTCCGATAGAAGTATGATTTCTTGTTTTAAAAATTTAAAAATACTATTTATTAGATACATCATAATATGACAAATCTAATTCATCTTTTTATGATCACTATATATTAAAATATTATAATTTTTATACAATATTTTATAATCAATTTTATATCTACAATTTTAAGAGAATAAATATTATCATAACATTTTTTACAAAATAATAATATGTTTTCACTAAGTTGTTATTAGTTCTCAATAAATAGATCAGAAATTGAGTAAATACTTAAAATAATAATATATTACATATGTGAGAATTTTTAATTCTTTAAGAAATATTTTGTATTAGAAATATTGTTGTAAGAAATATTTTTAAATTTATCTATTTTTTTTTAAAAAAAAAAAATGATAATTGTATTTTATATTGTGATTAGCCTTATATTAAATATTAAAAAATTTTCATTATTTAGAATTTTTAACTAAATCAACACTATAATTTTTAATAAGATAGTTTTCATATAATAATCTATATATTAGTCTATATAAAATAGTATATTTATTTGAAATTTTTTTTATAGCTTATTATTATTTATAATTATTATAATATAAATTTAAAGTTTAATTATTAATTTTTATAATCTTAAAACTTATTATATTAAATTAATAAACAGGTAAAATTTTTAAAATAAATATAAAAATTTGATATTTTTAAATCAAAATGATTACAGAAAATTGATCATAAATATTTAAAGTAAAGCATCAATTTATTCATTTAATGCATTATTTTAAAAGTCACAAATAATTTCTGTCATTATTTAATTATATATTTAAGGATTTTTAGATTAGATCCAAGTTATTTGAATAAACTAATAAAATTATCTTCAAAAAGTTATTAATCATCTCTTTTATTTTAATGATAATAATGATCTGCAGTAACTAAAAATTGTTCAAATTCATTTGGCATAAATTATAAAAATAATAAATTAAATATTATTATTATTATTGAAAAAATTGTTAATCTATAATACTAACTAAAAAAATAGATTGAAATTCACATTTTTCTAATATAGCAACAGGTAAAAGAATTACTACTCTATTTTAAATTATTTAAAACTACTAAATCAAGTTTGATTACTCACTTTTTGAATTACAATTAAGAAAACAGATTATTGTAGAGAATTTAATAGTAAATTTAAAACTATTTATTAATATTTAAATTATTAATAAAAATTGTATTTTTTTGAAATTAATGTAAAAAAAGAATTTTTTAAATACTATAAAAAGCTATATTAATTAGTTTAATAATAATTTAATCTTTAAAATCACTATAAAATTTAAAGTTTTCTTATATTACATTTCTAAAGTTATTAGATAATCCTTGTTTTTATATTTTCAGTATACTTAAATCCAAAATAGGGTATTTAATTATTTCTTGAGTTTCAGTTCTAAGATTTGATTTTTAGCTTGTTTAATTTATTTTAATTATAGCATCTTTTTTATTCTTAATTTAAAAATGAGCATTCACTCATTTGATAAAGAATATATTTATCCCAAAAATATTTGCTAAGAAAACTTAAAAATATTTTATATTTATGCAAAATTTACATTTATGATAATTAAATATCCATTTTATACTATATAATAAATCTGTAATTTAATATAGAATGAAGTATTTCTTTATTAGTATAGCAATTTAAATTTTTTTTAAAAGAAGCACTGCTTTTAACATCTATGCTTTTAACAGAATTTCGAGTTTATTTGGAATTATATTATTATTATTTTTTATAATACTTTTCTGATTCAATCTTAAAAAAATAAACTTTTAGTTTATTAGCTTAATTTTGAGTATTATTATTTCAGGTTATAGTTGTCGAAAGTTTTTTTATTTATTTTTAAAAAACTATTCTTTTATTAATCATTAGGTTTTCTTTTGACTTGAGTCATTCATAAATGAGCAGTATGAATTTTTTTTAGATCAGGTCATTGCAATATAATATTTTATTATTTCTTCATAATTAATTTTGTTCCTAAGGTTCTTATCTGAGTTGGATATCTTTGAATGAAATGGCTAAGGTTATTTTCTTTTTTCTTTATTTTTTTTCCCAATTTTTATGGGTAATTATCTTTATTTTTTTTGTGTTTAATATAAATAAATTTGTCAAGACTACAAACGCGCATGTAAAAATGTTTATAAAGAGTTGGGTCAAA